CGGCAGAGGCAGGGGCCGAGTGAAGCAGAAGCAGAGTGTGAATGAGAGAATGTAAAAAGCAAAAGAACAAGAAAAGCTGCGGGACAGGGTGGGTTTAGCCACTGGAAACTAATTTCTCCATTGTGGCTATAATAATGATCCGATCGGATCCCAATTTGGTGATCTGATAGATATGGCCATTTCCTACGGAATGGATTTTTTAGTTTTCTTTTATCTTCAAAACTGTAGAGGTTTTCGCCCTTTTGCGGGGGCGGAAGGGGGCGTGGCTCATTTTTTAAATACACTGGTTTCAGTGTGAGCATATAGCAGTCTGGATGCAAAATTTAGTGGCTCTAGCTCTTATAGTCTCTGAGAACTAGCCGACAAACAAGACGGACAGACGGACGGACGGACGGACAGACGGACAGACAGACATGGCTCAATCGACTCGGCTTTTTGATGCTCGTGATGCTGATCAAGAATATATATATTTTATGGGGTCGGAAACGCTTCCTTCTGTGCGTTACATACAACAGTTATTCGCACAAATACACTACACCCTATTTACCCCTTTGAGTACCGGGTATAAAAATAAACTAGGAGAGCGAAAAGAGCCTCCTGGCAAAAATTCTGTACCGAAATCGATGAGACGGCAGAAGCCGCAAGGCTGCGCAAGATCCTTTCGAAAACAAATACCTCTGTGGGATACATCAAGAGTACAGGTGGTGCATGGACCAACTCCAGAAAGGAGTCCCTACACATCCTACTCGATACCCACTTCCCAGGGTGAAGGCCCAGCCACCTCGATGGCGCATCTACTCACAAAACCGAATATTTGCTTGGCGGTGAACAGATTCAAACCGGTCAAATCGCCAGGTCCAGACAAGGTGATCCCAGCTCAACTTCAGAGAGCTGGGGACCAACCTATCCACTGACTACAACGTATCTTCAAAAAGATCCTAAAGGTAGGAAAGATTCCTAAAGCATGGCTCAAGGCAGAAATTGTCTTCATCCCGAAAGCGGGAAAAGCCTCCTACACGACGACAAAGGACTTCAGACCGATTAGTCTGACCTCCTTTCTCCTAAAAACATTTGAAAGAATATTCGGTCTACATCTAAGGACAATCATCAACCCTCAGATGCTGTCAAACTGACAACACGCATACCGGAAAGGTAAATCCACGGAAACGGCCCTACATGAAGTGATTTCAGGTATAGAGAAAGCCCTACACCTTAAGGAATACTCCCGGCGGCCTTCCTCGATATTGAGGGAGCCTTCAACAACGTCGAGCCAGGAGCCATTACGGCGGCCATGACTGACCTGGGGGTGGACTGCCACTTGGTGATGCTCATCGATCAATTGCTCACATGCAGGACGGTGACATCATCAATGGGTTCGTCCACTCAGACAAGGTATGTAAACAGAGGCACCCCACAAGGAGGTGTCCTGTCTCCCCTCCTATGGAACATTGCAGTCAATAAGATTCTATGTGACTTGGAGGGGGGTGGTTGCAAAGTAGTGGCATATGCAGACGACTTTGTCCTAATGTTCACGGGAAAATTCCCTCAAACACTCTGTGATCTTATGACCACAAAACTTGCTCGATTGACAGAATGGACAAGATCGTGGGGATTAGGTGTTAATGCCTCGAAAACGGAACTTGTGCTATTCACTAACAATTACAAAACTCCGCCACTCAACCCCCCAACACTAAACAAATGTAGGTTAACCTTTAGCGACAGTGCCAGTTACCTTGGGTTGGTAATAGACAGGAAGTTAAATTGGAACCTAAACACGAAGGAACTCGAAGGAAGGAGTACCTCATAGAACTGATTATTGCGTTCCCAGAGAGTACACAGCCACGAGTCCTTCGAGGCTATAAGGAGGAAATACGTATGCCAATAGCCACAAGCTCAAAATAAAAGAGTACTATACCCTGCAAACAACCAACAGATGCCAAATGGTCACGGGCTGTCGCATCACCCGACAAACTTGGCCAGACATCTCGAAAAAACGCACCGCTGAACTATGCAAACTAAGCAGACATAGGTGCAGCGTAGTCATTCGCTCTCTTACAGGGCACTGGCTAATAGGCAACCATGCGAATAGGCTGGGTGCCCCCTACAACAACTTCTGTCGTAGCCGTAGAGACGAGGACTAGGAGACAGTAGAAAATCTGTTCTGCTCCTGCCCGGCTCTCAGTAGAAGGAGGGTAAAATATCTGGGCTCACCTTTTCTTAACGAAATTTCAGAAATGGCTACTATAGGCCCCAGGAAGATAGCAAACTTTGTGAGAGCATCTGGATGGGACACCCTGACAAACGGGAGGAGAAGAGGAAAAGATCCAAGCGGAATCACAACGGGCCGAAACCGGCCTAGGTGTGTCGGGATTGGGAAGTCCCGACAACCGCCTCAACCTAACATAACCTAACGCTTATGTGTAAAATTAAATTTAGTTATAATAAAGTTATCAGGCGGCGATTGAAGATAAGAGCTTAGATGTAGTTTGACATCATCGGGTGTGGCTTCGGGAATAAGACGAGATACAAAGATTGCATTGAGGGGGACATCCGCCCTGAGTGGAAACTCCAGAAAAGCGAGCTGGTGGAGCTACTCCTAAAAGTGTCAGGGCGGGAGCTGAGGAGCTAGAAGAGGCTGCCGATCCATCACCATTAAATGTAACAGAGTTATTGGGGATTCCATCACTGGCAACTGAGTCCGAAGTTAAATTGACAGGGGTATGGATTTTTAAGGCAACTACTCTTACTATATGCAACTACTACTGTGTACATATGTATATAAAGCTAAGAAATTTGGAAATGAGAAATGTTTGTCCGTATAGTGGATTTGCACATTTAATTTTCTATTGTTGAAGACTTTTAATTATCGTTTTAAAACAGAAGTGCACAATACATACAGATACATTCATACAAATATGATTGTATTTGATTACACCTTATTTCTAAGAGAAAAATGTATTTCCTTTATAAATGACTAAGAAATGATCAAATTACATACAAATGAAATCGTTTAAAAATTAAAACACACAAACGACATTGTGTTTTGTTTATAATTTGGTTTGGCGATAAATTGCGGAACTATCGATCAAATAAACCTCCAGGCCTCGGAAATATAAACTTTCATTTTCAAGATTTACGGTATAATCTTAAATCATTTCCTCGAATTCGATCTTCTGTTGAATATTACCTTCTGGTTAGGACTCTCAGCTTAAACACTCTAATTTTACTCGAACCATCATTCCATTCTACACAAGATTGGATGATTTTTATGACTAATCCTTATTAGATTGATTGCAAAATAGGGCTAAAACAAAATAGGTCAGCAAACTTTAACAATGACTTTGTCTTAGACTGTCATGCTTTTAACATTTTCATATGTTTTCTATGTATAGATCCATATACAGATCTAGATACATTCTCGGCATCTATAATCAGCACTATTTCGTTGAGATGGATTACCAACACAGATTATTTTGTTGTTGCATTAATTAAAGCCAGAGATTTTTACAAATTTCCTCAATTGGAGGATATTCTTTTACGCAAGGGTATCATTTGATGCTCAATCCGTGCCCATGTTGGGCAACAGTGCTGCTCACTTTTAGCAGCATGTTGCTGGCCCATATTAATTATGTTGCCAACTGGAAAATACGTAAGTAGGGATGGAATTAAATCCGATGAAAATCCCCATGTTGCGAGAGAGATACATCATCCAATGGAGAAGAGAGAAAATCCTCAAGGGACAGTTGAAAAACATGCGAATGGAAGATTCGATATCCTATATTCTGGAATATACTTTAAAATATGTAATTTTAGAGAAGGATAAAATTCATTTAATATACCATTATATACCGATATGCCGCAAATATACATTGAATATAATTTTAAAACATCCCCAAAAAGCAGGAATTTCATTTTCATTGCTGTGACTACAGTGCCGGAAGGAGGAACAAGGAACTGTCGTTGGAATACACTTTTGCCTCTCCTATCGATTGGTCTGGCGACCCCTTTCGATATGCGGCCACACTAGCCCAACAGCTGATACGGCTCTTTTTTGGCATTTCTCCTTTGGTGGTTTTGTTTATCGTTCTCTCCGCTTCATTCATTTCAATCGTGTATCGTGTGTAACAAGCGGGACATAAAGCAGCGTTTGTAATATGTAAATTTTGTTAAAATAAGCTAAGGTGTGTGAATATGCAAAGTCTAGAATATATATCCAATAAAATAGAGAGATAACACTCATGCACTAATGCATTCATGAAACAGCAGCAGAACAGAACGAAATACGACATGCCGTACAAACCAATTTAAAAGAGAGTCCAAATTAAAAATACTAAACAATCTATGTTGAAGTAATTGTGTATGTGTGTGTGTGTATGTGCGTGCGGGAAAGAACAAGCAGAAAAAGCCGCGTGCTTATGGCAAAAAAAGTAGCAGTCGGCCGCAAAGCAGTTGATTTAAAAAAAGCCGCAAACAAAAACAAAACAAACACCATTGTGTGTGTATGTATGAGTCGTGTGGATGGGCATGTATGAATGTGCTGCTCTGTGTGTGTGTGGCTCTCTGGCTTCTAATCAAATTTAGCATGCCTCAAATCGATTGATAAATAATGTATAAACAATTTGAATGGCTAATGCATGGCAAATTTCAATTAATTTTGAGAGTTATAAAAGTTGCAACGGATTCCGTTTTTTGTGATAATTTCATCAGTTTGTAAATGATCTTTTGCATTCCGAATAGCACCGTCTCAGTCGCTCGCTCATGTGGTTTTTACGATAAATTAGTTTTACATTTTTAACAATTTTATGCAAAACGCCGTATTTCTCCCGTTCTCATCTCACGCTCTTTCGCTCTCGGACATGCTCCGTTCTCTGTTGATTTCGCACGTTTGACAACACTGCTCAGGTTCTTGTTCTCTCAGCGGGCTCGTTCTGTTCTACTCGTATGTTGTTGTATTTTCCCGTGTGTCTTTGCATTTCGCTTTTATTATCGTTCTGCGACGGACGCGACGTTGAAGAATTCTTAGCCGTATTCTTCTTCTTCATCCTGTGTAAATAATTGTAATTTAAATAACTTAAATTAAATACAAAAGCACACATTAACAGAACTTAGGCGTGTCGTGAATGGTTTTTAAGTGCATGTGTAAGTGCCAAAAAATGAAAAGAAAAAGAGTTAAATTGGGTTCTCTTCCCGGATTTTTTCCTCCTGCCTCTTTTTACGTTGTCATCATCGGGGTTTCCTTTTCGACTGCGGTAACCAGCGGCGGCGGCGACAGCGTGTGCCATGTGTGTGTCAGAGTGTGGTGTGTGTATCCAGACCGCTTTTTATATTTAAAAAAGTATAAAAATAGTTTGGTTTGCAAAGAAGCTACAAGAAAACAAATTTTTTTCCCTAAAAGGTAAAAATCAATTAATTTTTTGGCCGGGTCGCTGCCGACTGCGCGGTCACAACGACTGCAAACACTGAGAAAAGAGGAATATAATGAATATTTTATATTTTGGTAAAATATTTTCCGATTGTGTGTTTGTGTCCAGTGCGTGTGTGTGTATATTTATCCGTTTTCTTGGATGTGTCGCCTCATTATTCGCCTTGTGCCTTGTTCCATCATTTTCTTCCTTTTCAGCGGCGGCGGCGGCCATTTGTCTTCTTCTTCTTTCTTCTTACATTTGCACTGTGCGCTCTCGTCTCTGTGTGAGTGTTCGAGTACTCTCTTTCTCAATGTCCTCTCCCTCTCTGGGGACGCATGTATTTGTGTACACGAATTTTTCCCAATAAGAACACATTGGTCGGCGTCTAAGAACCAAACATTAATGAAAAGAAAGATGAAATAAATAACTCAGTTCTTGATCCAATATTTAATAATTCAGTTAAATATTCATCAGCTGTATCAGAGCTTCCCTGAGCCTGCCACGCCCCCTCCTTTGCGCACTCACAGTGCTCCTGTTTCGTTCTCGTGCCTTTGTTTTTCACATGTCTCTTTTACGGTTTATCTTTATGTTTGTTTTTATATTCAATGTGTGCGTGTGACTGTTCCTGTGCGTCTGTGTGTGTGTGTTTCCAGGGCCCGCTCTCTGGGAGGGAGGCAACTTCTGCGATTTTCGCATTTTACTGCTACTGCTGCACTTGCTCCTCCTCTGTCCATGCCATGTTGGTTGAGGGGGGGTGGGCGACCTGGGCAGGAGATGCTCCTCATAAACAAGCCGACCCACAGACGACAACGTTTCGTTTCGCATACCTTTTCGTAACGTAACCTCAAAAGTTGCGGCGCCCTGCCTTCTTCGTTTGGCTGCCGTAGTTCGTCGTCGTTCGTCTGCCGGCGTAGTGGTCGCTGTAGTTGCGTCTCCTTGTTGTTGTTCCTCTGTTTTTATGTGTATGTTAATTCTATATGTTTTCCATTTTCAACCTCCCGCCACCCCCTGCTTATTTGCTGCCTCTGCCAGTCGCCTCGCGTTGTCTTTTCGCATTTCATTCACTATATATGGTGTATGTGTAAAAGTATAAGCTGTAAGGGAAGCTCATGTTTTAGGCTCAAGAATTTTAATTATTTTGTTTAGCATCAAATTCCAGGAACGAGTGGAAGAACTCTTTCCATTAAATGTATTAATAATTAATAATTTATTGGAATTATTTCAGAGAATACTGTTATTTCCTACTTTTAAACATCTGTGTAGCGGGTTATTCCATGGTCGAGACTAGCATTCCTTTCCTCCCTATACTTTTTATTTTCTGTATTTTTCGCGCATGATTCAGCTTTGCGTTGTTCTTGTTCTCTGCTTCTTCTTTTTTCTCTGACTCCCTGCATTCCTCCACTTGCCTACCTCTTCTCCCTTTATAGTTTTGTTATTGTTTTCATAATGAGGAAATCAGTCCTGGCATTTGTTTTACTCATCTTTCAGTTTTAGCCTAGTGCTCAGATGCGCAAAATGTTCTTCCGACAGAAAGTGCCATACATTGTGCTGTGTGCACACCCTGTGTGCATTATGAAATATGAAATACAATATGAAATCCGTTAAAAATTCAAATGTTGTATGTTGTTTTTTTAGAGTGCATATGGAGCTAGCGACACAACAATGCACGCAGAACGCACCGCATTATTGGACAAGTTCATTCCGGCGGAACAGAAATGCAATAAACATATGTTTTTTATCATTATAAATTGATTAATGAGTACCGAGTATAAGATTGAATGAGAAGAATGAGAAGGGACGTGTGAGACGCTTCTTACGCGTCACAACTTTTATACCCGGCACTCAGTGTTTTGTCAAATTTTAAATATTTTCTTCATCCATTATCTACATCTAAAACACTTCTCACACCAACACGCTCCGTTAGCTCGCCGCCCTTCCCTAGACCCACATACTGCAGACTCGCGGCAGAGGCAGAGGCAGCGCCCGCACACAAAAAAACAAATATAAGCTGCGGGACGGGGTGGGTTAAAAGTCGGCAGAGGCAGTGGCAGAGGGAAGGCAGAGGCAGGGGCCGAGGGAAGCAGAAGCAGAGTGTGAATGAGAGAATTTGAAAAAAACAACAAAAGCTGCGGGAAAGGGTGGGTTTAGCCACTGGAAATTAATTTCTTTATTTTGGCTATAATAATGATGCAATCGGATCCCAATTTGGTGATCTGATAGATATGGCCATTCCCTACGGAATGTAATTTTTAGTTTTATTTGATCTTCAATATTGTAGATTTGGGAGGTTTTCGCCCTTTTGTGGGGGCGGGGCTCATATTTTAAATACACTTGTAACAGTGTGTGCATACAGAAGTCTGGATGCAAAATTTGGTGGCTCTAGCTTTTATGGTCTCTGAGATCCAGACGCTCAACAAGACGGACGGACGGACGGACAGACAGACATGGCTCAATCGACTCGGCTATTTATGCTGATCAAGAATATATATACTTTATGGGGTCGGAAACGTTTCCTTTTGTGTGTTACATACTTTGTGCACAAATACAAAACACCGAGTACCGGGTATAAAAATTATAGTATCCATATAATCAGTTTTGTTCGACTGCCTTAACAAGCTTTAAATCGTCTTTATTTAATGCTCGTTACTAGTTTTCTAGCGCTGGTTTCCTTAATTGTTTCTGTCGACAAATGTATGATACATATGTTCTTACTTTCGCTGCGGTATATCTACCGGGTTGATTTCGTTATCGTTTGCATGGGAATATCATCCCTAACATCTTGGTTCTTAAAGATTTTCATTAATTTACATCCGTTTTTCCCCCGTTTTTCTCATTTCAGTGTGTGTATATTTTCATCATTAAACGTCGTGTAAATTAAAATTCATCCTAATTATAAATAACAAATAACTTCATTCAAAACGAAGCAAATTCCACAATTCTCAAATAATAAAATCTGTAAAAATTCAACCAATTTTAACCAATTTTCCATACGTAATTACATGATAAAGTTCGTTTTTGTTAAGTCCCAAACCACAACTGTGCAACTGTGTAAAATATTCTTCTTAAAGTTTGTGTTAAATATTGTACATTTTTGTAAAAAAGAAAAATAACTTCTCGACAACAAAATAAATATTTTTTAATATGATGTGCAAAGAATAAATAAATAAAAGCGAAGAAATCTCAAGAAAATGCTGCAAATTAATGTTTAATGTTATAAGCTAAAAAGTGTATGTGGTTTCCCAAAAACAACAAAATCAATGAGATAAATAATTTGTGTATAATACAGTTAATTCAGTGCATGCCAATGTGCAGATTTTGAAACGATCGAAAGTTTGAGAATCACTAAAAGCGCGAGATTGTAAAGGAACGTAAATCGTAACGTGAGCACTTAAAATACGCGCCCGCTCGATCGTCCGTCGTCGTCGTCGGCGGTGGTCGTCCTCTCGTAGTATTTCTCCCAGTCTTCTTAGTTACTCACAGTTAGCAATACGCGCCCCCACGTCAGCTGCGTCAGCTTTGAAAATCCGTCAAAATTGAGCTCTTAACTGCGCCTACCATTTCCATATCGACGCCCTCGCCGCAACACCATCCGCAGCAGCAGCATCATCAACAGCAGCAGCAACAGCAACAGCTCTACCAACAACAACAGCAGCAACAACAACATTACGGTCCAGCACCACCCTACTTTCAACACCTTCAACAACAACAGCAGCAGCAGCTACAACCACACCAACAGCAGCAACAACAACACATGAAGTTTTTGGGTGGTAACGATGATCGTAACGGACGCGGCGGCGTTGGCGTTGGATCGGAAGCTATTATAGGGTCGTCCCGGGGCGGCGGCGGTGTGTCACAGGATGCCGCCGATGCAGCCGGCGCCGCAGCGGCCGCAGCCGTCGGCTACGTCTTCCAGCAACGTCCCTCGCCCGGAGGCGGTGGAGTCGGAGTGGGAGCTGGTGGCGTAGGCTCGACCTTGCACGAGGCAGCCGCCGCCGAGTACGCGGCCCACTTCGCCCAGAAGCAACAACAAACGCGTTGGGCATGTGGTGACGATGGTCATGGCATTGATGTAAGTACATATGACGACGAGTTACAGAGGGGAAAAGGATCTTTTATATGTACATAGATCCTTGCATGTGCTTGTTGAAATTCTGTTAAGAAGGCTAAGATTCTCAAGTTGTTCCGTGTTTCTGGGGCCAAGACAGGAGGATCGATCAATTGTTTCTATTAACCTCATCTCATAGGTCCTTATAGGTCTTGGGGTTTCGTAACCATTTTCTCTAGTGAACATTTTAGCGCGTACATTTCGCTTTCTTAGCCTTCATTTCTTGCTGCCAAAAACAGTCGCAGTTTCGCAATTTCTGTATGGAATGTTGCACCCACAAGGGGCATGCTAAGCGGCGGGTGGTGGCTTGTGTAAGTTCCGAAAGGTCGCTGTCTGCCGGAAACGGTTGCATAAACAGCGTATGGCACTTCTTTTCTAATTTTTTTATTTTTATACCCGGTACTCGAAGAGTACATAGCACAAATAAAATAGTGCACAAAGTGAATGTATGTCACGCACAGAAGGAAACGTTTCCGACCCCATAAAGTATATATATTCTTGATCAGCATAAATAGCCGAGTCGATTGAGCCATGTCTGTCTCTCCGTCCGTCCGTCGGTCTGGTTGAGCGCCTGGATCTTAGAGACTATAAAAGCTAGAGCAACAAAATTTTGCTCACACTGTTACAAGTGTATTTTAAAAATGATCCCCGCCCCCGCAAAAGGGCGAAAACCTCCCAAACCTACAATTTTGAAGATAAAAGAAAAGTAAAAACGCCATTCCGTAGGGAATGACAATATCATCAGATCACCAAATTGGGATCCGACCATTATTATAGCCATAATGAATTAATTTGCAGTGGCTAAACCCACCCCGTCCCGCAGCTTTTTTGTATACCCGGTACTCGAAGAGTAAATAGGGTATATTGTATTTGTGGGGAATAACGGTTGCATGTAACGCACAGAAGAAAACGTTTCCGACCGATAGAGTCGATAGAGCCATGTCTGTCTGTCCGTCTGTCCGTCTTGTTTGTCGGCTAGTTCTCAGAGACTATAAGAGCTAGAGCCGCCAAATTTTGCATCCAGACTTCTGTATGCACACACTGTTACAAGTGTATTTTAAAAATGAGCCACGCCCCCTCCCGCCCCCGCAAAAGGACGAAAACCTACCAAATCTACAGTTTTGAAAATAAAAGAAAACTAAAAAATCCATTCCGTAGGAAATGGCCATATCTATCAGATCACCAAATTGGGATCCGATCGGATCATTATTATAGCCACAATGGAGAAATTAGTTTCCAGTGGCTAAACCCACCCTGTCCCGCAGCTTTTGTTGTTCTTTTTACATTCTCTCATTCACACTCTGCTTCTGCTTCACTCGGCCCCTGCCTCTGCCCTCCCCCTGGCGTTGACTCTTCCGACTTTTAACCAAGACTCGGTTTTTAACGCTCTGTATTAGAAAAGAGTGACCACCACTTTCGAAAAATCTGCTGTGAAACCTAGCGGTCATTATTGCACAGAATGTGCAGGGAAAAAGTACCAATTTTATTGCTGTTTTAAATATCTCATAAATTGGAAAATACGATTAACTGATCAAATTTTTTGATGCATTTTATTTAGTAGGCATTTTACTACGTGTTCTGTAATGTGTGTACGCGTTCTTCTACATCTAGATGTAGTCCTGAGTGCCGTGTATAAAAGTTGTGACGCGTAAGAAGCGTCTCACACGTCCCTTCTCGTTTTTTTTTGTGTGTGGCGCTGCCTCTGCCGCGAGTCTGCAGTGTGTGGGTCTAGGGAAGGGCGGCGAGCTAAAGGAGCGTGTTGGTGTGAGTAGTGTTGTTGATGTAGATGACAGATGAAGAAAAAATTTAAAATTTGACAAAACACCACTAAGGTGTTTGTATGTAGTACTGAGTGCCAGGTATAAAAGTTGTGACGCATAAGAAGCGTCTCATACGTCCCTTCTCGTTTATTTTGGCAATGAGACAGCAGAAACAGATCCAAGTTATTGGGTTGGGGTTGACAAAAAAAAAAATGAATCTGGTTTTTATCGACAAATGTCTCTTCTCTAAATTTTTTCAGAACCCGGATAAATGGAAGTACAATCCCCCCATGAATCCCGCCAACGCAGCTCCGGGCGGACAGCTGCAGCCTGGGAACGGCAGCAACGGTGGACCTGGAGCCATCGGAACCATTGGTATGGGCAGCGGTCTCGGGAGCATGGGCGGTGGCAACAGCGGAGGAGGTGGTGGCTCGAGCTCGAACGGCGGACTCCACCATCCGTCAATGGCAGCAGCAGCCGCGAACATGGCTGCCATGCAACAGGCTGCAGCCGTGGCCAAGCACAACCACATGATGTCTCAGGCAGCAGCTGTGGTGGCGGCCCAGCACCAGCAGCAACAGCCTCCGCATACTCAACAGAATCAGGGGCCACCGCATCATCTGATGGGCGGAGGAAACGGCCTGGGCAATGGCAATGGCCTGGGGGTTGGTCTCAGCAATCATCAGCATCCCGGCCAGCAGCAGCATCAGCAGCAACAGCAGTCCGGTGGTCATCCCGGGCAGTACAACTCGAATCTTCTTAGTCATGCCGCTGCCCTGGGGCACATACCCCCCTACGCACAGTCCGGCAGCATGTACGATCACCATGCCGGAGCCATGCATCCGGGTATGAATGGGGGCATGCCCAAGCCACCACTCGGCCCGCCCGGCGGACCCCAAGATTACGTCTACATGGGCGGACAGCCCACGGTTCCAATGGGCGCTGCCATGATGCCGCCCCAGAACCAGTACATGAACAGCTCCGTGGTGGCCGCCGCCAACCGGAATGCAGCGGTGAGTAACCGTAGCCCCTGACCTCAGTGGCTATGATTGGTCCCTGATTGGAGTTTTTGTTACCCCATTTGTCCCGGTGAATTGATAACTGTGATTGTGGTATCCCTGTGTATTTCAATCAATAATATTTGCCCATACACAAAAGTCCCATTTCTATCGATAATACAGCTATGGTTGGTGGGTAGAAGTGTGAGAGTTGATAGCTACAAGTATTTTCCTTGATAACATGTACATATAATACATGAATGATAATAATATGGTAATACATACCGATGAGTTGTGTGAAATTTGTACTTTAAATCAGCTTAATCTATTTGTGGGAATAAGATCCTGTGGGAATAAGATCGCAATATATCGTATCGGTTCGGCCAGTCCTATCGGCTTAAATGTTAAGCCAACACAAATCATAATACGTAGTCATTAAGCAAGCGCACTTAGAAGAACTAGTGTCTGAAATGTTTCACTTATCCGCTGATAAAGTTGTCCAGGTGAAAGTACTGAACAATTGTACCTGGTACTCCAAGTGATCACAGACTGCTGTCATTCAAAATATTTCAAAATTTTGCGCGCTCACTTCCAGTCTCCCAAAAATTACGAAAATCTGTGACTTCCACCATATGGAAGATAAAAGATACATGCACAGACTGAGTACCGGGCTTACAAGTACCGGGTATAAACGCGCCTCACATAGTTCACTTTCCATTTGAGGTAGAATGATTCATTATCTCCATCAATTGATGGCCTATAACAATACTTTTATAAGTCTCAAACATACAGCTGTGAAAAAAATAATATCACCACCACCACAAGCAATTTTCAAATAGTTTCCCAACTCACATTTTTTAACTTTAAGGAAACTTTAAGCACATTTTTAGAAAGGGAAGACTAACAAACCTGGGAACAACAAAATAATAATCTTTTTTGTAAGGCTTTTAAGTTATTTAAGAAACTTTCGTGAAGCTGGTAAAATTATGCAAACAAAATAATAGCACCACTTTTGAAAAATGGATTACAAATTTTAAAAAAATGACCAACAAGTAACGAATTTCTTAGTTAACACTTTTGAGCTATAAATAAAAAATCTGTATTTATCATTCAAGATTTAGTTATTTGGCAACATCAGCTGCGCAGCGTCTTGTCATGGAATCCACTAAGTCCAGTCATAGCTTTTAGGGAGCATTGGACCAGGACTCTTAAATTTGTTCTCAAAGTAATCCTACAGTGGTTGGTTTGGAAGCAGCAACTGCCTTTTGGATGGCGGACCACAAATTTCCGATGGGTTTCATGTCAGGCGACTGTGCTTGACCCTCTTACACGTTTAGTGTTGGCCCAGAACCGTTCCTTTGCTTTCATGCTTGGTTTATTTACCGGTTGAAAGCCCCATTCTAGTGGAATTTCATATTCTGAAAAGGGTAGCATTACAGTCTCTATGATATCCATGCAAACGCGCTGATCCTTGATGGTTTTTCTTCAAAATATTGAACCTACTAGTAAGAGAAGCAGGCCATTAAATTAAACCTTTTATTTTTAATGGGTTTCTTTATTGTACTGGCGTTTCTTGGAGTAAGTAAAGTAAATAAGACACTTTTTACTCATTTGATATTAACATTTTCCACCATTATAGGGATGTCCAATTGGCATGCTCCCTTGCAAACATCATGCCTAGTAATTTGTCAGTTGGGCAGCAGGCTTTTAGGCTATGTTGTCTAAGATATGACCAAACTTTCTAGCCCGTCGCTTTTATTTTAAGCTCGATAGCAGGCTTGAAGGGAACTTTCTTGCTCTCACGAATCAGTCTTTTGACACTAAAAGGGGTCATAGATTGTTTTCATCCACTTGTTTCACACTTTTCTTTATAGTTTAAGGCGTATTTAATCATTTTATTGATTTACCTACCAATTGAAAAAATTCTCTGTAAGTTTTGACGTCAAATATAAATATTTTGCTACGTCTTTTCCACGTCTTATTGTAATGATTATTATTAACTTTTATGATAGAAACAATGAAATATTAGTCAAAACTAATAAATACGTGGTTTATTCAAAGTCAATTCCGCTATTTTATGGAATTAAAAAAGTGTTAATGGCGCTTTTCCTTTTTTTTCGCAATATTTGTGGTATTTGTTCTTAAAGTACACAAAAAATATAAAGACAGAAATTTGAAGATAGGCAACACTTTTTTGTTAATATGGAATACTTAACTATATGAAAAAACTACAAATTTACAAAAAATCGCAATAGTAATTGCTTTTTTTAAGCCAAGAACAAATGTGTTGTAGTGGTGCTATTATTTTTTTCGCTACTATGGAACATTCACGAGGGGTTTAACTACCTTTTTAAGTAGTAGTAGTAGTGGTTTTTATACTCGGTACTCAAATAGTAAATAGGGTATTTTGTATTTGTGCGAATAACGGTTGTATGTCCCCATATGTCCCCCGACCCCATAAAGTATATATATTCTTGATCAGCATCAATAGCCGAGTCGATAGAGCCATGTCTGTCTGTCCGTCGTAATGAGCGCCTAGTACTCAGAGACTATAAGAGCTAGAGCCACCAAATGTTGCATCCAGACTTCTGAATGCTCACACTGTTACAAGTGTATTTAAAAAATGAGCCACGACCCCTTCCGCCCCGCAAAAGGGCGAAAACCTCCCAAATCTAAAATTTTGAAGATAAAATAAAACTAAAAATGCCATTCTATACCATATCTATCAGATCACCAAATTGGGATCCGATCGGATCATTATTATAGCCACAATGGAGAAATTAATTTCCAGTGGCTAAACCCACCCCGTCACGCAGCTTATATTTGTTTTTTTTTGTGTGCGGGCGCTGCCTCTGCCTCTGCCTCTGAGTTTACAGTGTGTGGGTCTAGGGAAGGGGGGCCAGCTAACGGAGCGTGTTGGCGTGAGAAGTGATGCAGAAGGGAGCTAAAGGAGCGGTGTAGATGTAGATGACAGATGAAGAAAAAATATAAAATTTTACAAATAACCGCTAAGGTGCAGATGTAGTACTGAGTGCCGGGTATAAAAGTTGTGACGCGTAAGAAGCGTCTCACACGTCCCATCTCGTTCTGAACGAATTTTGAATTCCAAGGGCAGTGGAATCTAGCCGGCATAATCTGCGAATGTGAATGCGCAGCTAAAGGAACTGAGTAGTATAACATAATTAAAAAAATATAAAAATGAATATAAAGATAACTTAAGAAAAACAATGATTAGAGAAGAAAATTGCTTTGCTAATTTGAGAATTTCGCCACTTGTGTGCAATTGTTCTTTCTCTGTGAGTTTTCTTTTGGTTAGTTTTTCTTCTTGTTACATAGGGGGTTTGTATTGCACTTCTGCCTGCCATTTGTTGTTTCCTTGGATGTACGTATGTATTTTCTTAACTTTTGCGTGGTTTCTCTGCTCTTCTACTGCTAATGAATAGAGAGAGAGAGAAGGAGAGAGGTACCATTCCGGTTGCAATATTTCAGCCTTATAAAGCCAAAACATTGCACATGCCACACTGACCAGACACCAGACAGCACACAACACTTGGAGCACTCCTCAAATGTCACTCGGTGGTTGGTCGGTCAGCTTGATAACTTGAGAACTCTCTGGCCAAGTCCCCGAACCAAGCCAAACAGACTATTGGTATTTTACCTATAAACCAACAGACCAGACCCCAGCAGGCACAGCTCGTTATGTCACAATTGTTCATAGTAAAAACAATTTTAATTAAAGAATTTCGCTAGTTTCGTTCTACATTCTACAATCGCTAACTTCATCTTCCTCACTCTCTCGTTCCATCTTGCCGGTCCAGGTGATCACATAAACACAGATAAACTGTACAAACATCGACGCAGCACATTCATGTGTTCAAGAGTTCGTTAGCGCACATTCGATCATGTTTTTATCAAGCAATTTGTCGAGAAAAGGGTTTTAGATGCTATTTGCTATTCTTTCTTTCCCCAAACACTGCTGCAGGGAATGTAGGGAATCGGAACCTCTGTTGAATTGAGTTGGGAGAATTTATTCAATTAAAATGAATGTTCACCCATAGTTCGAATATTATTACTATTATTACAAAAAAAAACTCCTTACAAAACAAAAAACAACGCTTTTTACGCGTCACAACTTTTATACCCGGCACTCAGGACTACATCTCCACCTTAGCGGTTTTGTCAAATTTTTAATTTTTTCTTCATCTGTCATCTACATCAACAACGCTACTCACACCAACACGCTCCTTTAGCTCGCGGCCCTTCCCTAGACCCACACACTGCAGACTCGCGGCAGAGGCAGCGCCCGCCCACAAAAAAAAAAAACAAATATAAGCTGCGGGACGGGGTTGGTTAAAAGTCGGAAGAGGCTTTGGCAGGGGGAGGGCAGAGGCAGGGGCCGAGTGAAGCAGAAACAGAGTGTGAATGAGAGAATGTAAAAAGAACAACAAAAGCTGCGGGACAGGGTGGGTTTAGCCACTGGAAACTAATTTCTCCATTCTGGCTATAATAATGATTCGATCGGATCCCAATTTGGTGATCTGATATGGCCATTTCCTACGGAATGGATTTTTTAGTTTTCTTTTATTTTCAAAACTGTAGATTTGGGAGGTTTTCGTCCTTTTGCGGGGGCGGGAGGGGACGTGGCTCATTTTTTAAATACACTGGTTTCAGTGTGAGCATATAGCAGTCTGGATGCACATTTTGGTGGCTCTAGCTCTTATAGTCTCTGAGAACTAGGCGCTCATTACGACAGACAGACAGACATGGCTCTATCGACTCGGCTATTGATGCTGATCAAGAATATATATAATTTATGGGATCGGAAACGTTTCCTTCTGTGCGTCACATACAACCGTTATTCCCCACAAATACAATATACCCTATTTACTCTTCGAGAACCGGGTATAAAAAGTATAAAAAATTTTCTCTAGAGAGAGAACAAAGTTGCAGCTGCATCATTCAGGATGCAATTTTAATCTGTCCGTCTTGTTTGTCGGACAGTTCTCAGAGACTAT